ATTTTACCTATTACTTTATTAAAGAAAAAACTTTTCTAAATTCATACAAAAAAGTTTGTTTAACAATATGTACAACAAAAAAACGAATTTTGCAAAACTGTTCAACTTGTATTTTTTATTTATTATTTCAAACAGAAAAACATAAATTTCATGAACAATATTGACCAACTGAAAATTAGTTGCCCACTTCACGAATTTTGACCCTGATGAGAAATAAAATTTTTTAATTTTTTAAAAATATATTCCAATGTATGATCATGAAATTTAGATTCAATTTTTGAATTTAGCATGTTTTTTTTAATTCAGACTATTGACACCATCACACAATATAAAGTTTTTTTACTGTTTGCGACTTATATAATACACTCGGATCGCAAAGTTTCAGTACATTTGGACTATTTGCTTTTAAATGCTTACTTCACTTCAAATTTAAATATTTATATAAAAATTGATTTAAAAGCTATTAAACTAGGATCATTTTGCGGTTTACTAAATTTAGAATCAAATGGCCCAAAATATAACCAATTTAATAATGTAAATATGAAAATATAGTTAATTGATAAAATAAATGAATAGATATGACGAACTTGCAATTTATATTGTTTAAAAAATTTAGAGCAAGAGAAGTTAATTTTATAGATTTCGAAATCGCTATTTTCACAAAATAGTTCTTGGCCAATTCGATCTAAATGTATTAAATTTTAAAATAATCCTAGTTTAATTATATTATATTAAAATTGAATCATTTTCTTAAAAAAACTCTGTAGAAGCGATATGATAAAAAATTTAAATTATATGTGCAAATTGTATAAACAAATAAATTTTTGTAGGTTTTAAATATTTTTTCTTGAAAATTAATATTTGTTTTGGTAATTATGCAGAAGAAGGACTTTTTTTCCGAAAACTTTATTAATAATAAAATTTCAAGTTTTTAAATGTTATAAATGATTATTTTTTTTAAAGACTGCATTTCTTTGGATGTACTTTCTTAAATGGCTATAACATTCCGATATAATAGAAATGTTTATAAAAAGATATATCGAAAACACTTAAATATAATTATTGTATTTTTCTAATGTTTATGTGATGTAAATATTTAAAAATTTTCTTTATATTAAAGTTATTTTCTATCAAAGAATCCAAAACTGTAAGAAATTTGAGTAGGGGAGGGTAGGCTACATTGAACCGGGTATTTTATAAAGTCCAAGAACTAATTAAATTTTACTAATTTCGATCAGGTTTTTGTATCAAAATTAAGCTGAAGTACTCCTTTAGTTAATACACACGTTACAAACACAAATTATTATGATTAAATAATTAAATTTAATTTTTTTCTAGCCAGTTACACTTTTCTTATTTTGAAGAATGTGTGTCTACATTGAACCACCTCTAATAAAACACTACAATTTACTTCAAAAATAATATTTCCACTTACACATTGTAAAAAATCTTATTTTCCACTCAAAAAAATAGAAAATTGTTATTTAATTGTTATTACTTGTTAATATAGGAGATTAATGTATTTTAATGTCAGGTTAGTTAGGTAAAGTGACAGTTTGAGTTTTTCTCGTTCACAATTGTGATGAAAGCACGTCTTCCAGTATTTTTCTTAATAATTAGTAGAGCAGACAATTTTACAACTCTTAAAATTGAAAATTCTTTGCTTTTTCGGGTGGTTCAATGATGCCGCACTCACTGTATTCACATGACATTCACAACAAAAATTGTTTATAATAAATTTGTGTAAGATTTAAAGTTCTTTATCACATCGGAATATTGAAGTTGACACCCTAAGCGAAATAAATCGCAAGTTTACTAATTTTTAAAACTTCCTACTTCAATAAAAAAACGTCATTATAATTCCACCAAATTTTTTGTTTTGTACGTGAAAAACAGTTTTTTTAGTTTTTCTTTGTAAATAATAAACCTACGTGCCCGAAATTTTTGGACATAGTTTGTTTCAGTAAAACTAACTTATATATTAAATAAGAAAAAATTTCACTCAGTCATTTCTCAGAAAATTGAAGTGGTTCACTGTTGACGCTGGTTCAATGTAGCCTACTCTCCCCTATTAATACATTGTTAATATAAATTTTAACACATTTTAATTTGTTATTTGGTACATTTTTTGTCCCCTTTTTGAGGGAAAAAATTCCCCTTTTTTGAGGATAAAAGGTACTGTGATGCCTGATAATATTACATGATCAACGCATTATTACATTATGTAAAATAAATGTATATAATAATATTAAGAGATAATACAAATATATTTATAACAGATTTTAGAATGAGTATGATAGAATTTTAATTATTCAAACTGTTGTTACCGTTTTTACCTTAAACAAATTATATTTCTCTTGGTTTTCTTTCTTCCTGGCGTTATTCTCATTGTTCTAAACACAATTATATTTTTATAATAATTATGCACAAAATGTGCACAAAATTTTGTGTTAATTATTGCTGACTGTTGTTGACGAAAATTAGCTGATCAAGGCTGGTAACGGTCGTTTGCATTTTTATCACTTTCCACAGTTATTTTAACACTTTTCACTACAGAGCCACTGCAAACGCTAAATAACCACGAGCCGAACAGAAAAGAAAAATCGTCATAAAAATATTTCGAACTACCCATTGAGTAATTACTTTGTGATTATAAGAAAAAGTCAAATATACATATATATTAGGGTGTCCGTTATTTCCCAAGTTAGCTACACTACCGGTCAAAATTGAGAGACCACCCATTTTCAGGCGAATGAAAAACGTTTTAAAACATAAAATTTATTAAAATTTTTTTCTGTTAATTTTCTGAAAGATGATAGAATTTTGGAAAGCACAAGATATTTCAGAAGTCCTTTGGCCAATAAATCATTTCGATATTTTTAAAAAATCGTCATTTCCAACGTTTTACAAAAATTTGAATAACTTCTAAAATAATGAACGCTTTTTAATGATCTTAGGTTTATTTTAAAGGTCATTTGCTGCATCATAAGAATTACTTATAAGCATTTACATGTAATTTTTTTCTTAAAAAATCCAGACCGTCAAACTTGTACCAAATAAATTCAAAAAATTTTAAACATTTTTATTAACAGAAAAATAATTTTTAAAATTCAAACGTATTTTTTTTATTGAATTATCTTGAAAAATCTACACCATATGATGTTTTATATATTTTCTAGAATAGTTTTTAGTACAGAAAAATAGTTCCAAATTTTTTGAATTTTTTTGATCCAAGTTCGACGGTCTGCACTTTCTAAGAAAAATTTTTGTAAAACATTGAAAATGACGATTTTTTAAAAATATCTAAATAAAATATTGGCCAAATGAAATGACTTCTAAAAGATCTTGTTCTTTTCAAAATGTTGTCATCTTTTAAAAAATACAAAGAAAAGAATTTTAGATTTCATACATTTTATGTTTTAAAATGTTTTTCAATCACCTGAAAGTGGGTGTTCTCTCAATTTTGACCGGTAGTGTATTTTCATTTGGGTATCGTCAAAATCGTTTCTTTTTGACCTAAAAACAATTCTAGAAACTAGAAAAAATTTTTACGATGCCGTTTAACCCTGCCTAAATAACAATACTTTTCCCATTTAATTAACATGGGATTTTTGCACTTTTTAAAAAATAATTTTTATTTCGTTTATAATACTCTTTGACTAACCAATAATGCTTGATTTTCTTCTATTATGATTCCTTTAGATAGAGAAATTTTCATATTATCGCGAAAAATTTATTACACAAGTTTTAAAAAGGTCAATTTCATTTTTATTGATTTTTCTGATTATTTTGCTAAATCTACTTATTAATTAATTTTTATTCGATATTTCATTGAAAGTTTCTTGTTTTATGCATCCAATTGGACCATAACAATAATTTCAATTCATAAACTATCCAAGAATCACACAGTAGACTAAATCCATTTCAAATCATGCAGGTCGACTAACTTCATGGTATAGAAAAAAAATTGTTTTGCTTGTCATTTTTTTCTCTTGAGTATAATTTAATTTTCTTTCTTGGGTCTTGTAAATGGTCTTGTCCTCTTCATAATCCAGTTTAAAATTTGAAAAAAATTTTAAATTATAAAAGTAGGGGATGATTTTTTGAAAATAAATAAGATCAATTTTTTCAAAAACACCACCTTTTTTTGTTATCAAATTTTTACTACAAATTCTTAACATAATTATGAACATTTCCTATGAATTTCAAGCGGGTTAAACCATTCTGTCCATCAAGAGAAATTTTTTTAAATATTTATTTTTGCAAATTTTCAAATTGTTAACTTGCATTTTTTAAAACAAATAAATCGTTATAACATTGTTGACGTGAACATTAACAATTTAAAAATTTGTAAAAATAAATTTTTCAAAAAAAAATTCTCCTAATTGCCAGAATGGTTTAGCCCGCTTGAAATTCATAGGAAATGTTCGTAATTATTTTAAAAATTTGTAGTAAAAATTTGATAACAAAAAAAGGTGGTGTTTTTGAAAAAATTGATCTTATTTATTTTCAAAAAAACATTCCCTATTTTTATAATTTAAAATTTTTTTTCAAATTTCAAACTGGATTGTGAAGAGGACAAGATCATCTACAAGACCCAAGAAAGAAAATTAAATTATACCTACTCAAGAGAAAAAAAATGACAAGCAAAACAATTTTTTTCTATAACTATAAAATCTCATGTTAATTAAATGGGAAGAGTATTGTTATTTAGGCAGGGTTAAACGGCATCGTAAAAATTTTTTCTAGTTTCTAGAATTGTTTTTAGATCAAAAAGAAACGATTTTGACGATATATATATTGGACTACAAGTACTAATATAATAATAAAAATTTTCAAACAAATCGGAGAGGGTGTTCCGAAATGTAGTAAATATCTTGTCGACTTACACTACATACCTATATTATTTTTTAGCGTAATGAATTACTTTTATTGCATTTTACAAACTTTTTATTAAGTGTTAGTTTCACTGTTTTAAATGTATTACTTAAATATTACAGTTATTGAAACGAAGGAAGAAAAAGTTCTCACCATCGAGGGTAAAATTTCACACACTGATAGTACTAATTTATTTCTGAAAAATGATGAAAATAAAGCCTGTTCTATTTGTTCGACTGGTTTGGAAGTGAAGCATACAGTAAGTTGATTAAAGATTGACATGACTAGTAAAAATTCACTATTTCTTTAGCACTAAATTATAATTCAATATCAGTAAATATTATCCACAAAAAGCACTTTAGACCTCATTATCCGGACAAATTTTAAATATTTTTTTGTTTTTATTTTATACCCCCATTTGCAGCTCAAAAAAGGCTATTTTCGTGAATTTTTCAAATAAAAACTCCTAAACTGTTTTAAACGATCAATATATTATCTAAAGGTAGGGGAACATAGTCGAGGTCGGCCCACTTTTTGACTTTTGTTTATAACTTTTTTTGAAAAATGAATTTGGACAATTGAAGTATATGGTTGGAAAGTCCTGTTTAATAGGAACATCTTTTCTGTACAAAGTAAATTGATTGGTTTTAAAATGAAAAATTTATAAAGATTTAAAAAAAAATTGTAGTCATGCTTGGCCCTTACAGTCAAGGTCGGTCCATGTTTAAAATTCAAAGGGCATTAATCGTTAAAAAATAAAATAACATGTTTGGAGTTAGGGGCCGTACACATAATACGTCACGCTGCTAGGGGGAGGGAGGGGGTCTGAGAATTGTGACTAAGTGTGACATGGGGGAGGGGGGGTGAACTCATGTGTTACGTCACAATCTTTTAAATTCAAAGATTATAAGAAATTATATGTGACAATGTCACTTTTTCTAAATAAATCAAGTTAAAAATGCTTTAAACTATTTAATATCTATTAGATACCTGTTTAACATCTATTAGCATATTATTTATAATATGATAAATAATATATTCTCTTAATTTGAATCAGTTAAAAATCATGGTTTTAACTGACAATCAGTACTGACTGACTTTTTGCTTCTGAATCAGTTAAAAATAACTGAAAAATTATCCACAAAACACCGAAATTTTTCTAAATATTGTATATTAAAGATTTGCTTGCATAATTCGAAAAATTTACTTGCAAAGTTTATTTTAAAATTGTGTAAAGATTTAAATTTCTCACTCCAATAAATGTCTATCGTCAAATTTTCTTAAAAATATAGCTTGAAACTTTCCTGAACATTTGAATTGCATTTTCGACTATACTTTCGTGAAAATTTTCCTAAAAATTTAACTTAATTAATTAATTTAACTTTTCGCGCTAAACATTTATTGAAGTGGGATATTTAAATCTACACAATTTTCACTAAACTTTGCATTTAAATATTTCGAAGCTTGCGAGTAAATCTTTAGTAAATTTTTAGGAAAGTTTCGGTGCTATGTAGGTAGTTAAACGTGACTAATTGAATCAATCAAAAACAATTGTATTGAAACATCAGTTATTTTCAACTAATTGTCAGAAAAAAAATATTACTATTTGAATTACTATCGGTGTAAAATGTAAAGTCAGTTGGCTTTGACCGCTTATATCTTGAGTAATAAAAATCGCATAATATTGAAACAACTTGGAATCAGTAGCTACAACATTTTTACGTTACTGTAGAAATTGAAGGAAATACAAAAAAATTATTTCGAGAGTTATTAATTTTTGAAGGGAAAAAGAACATGTTTTTTGGCATCATTTTCACAGGGTCTACTTTGGTAACATGTAACTCGTTTAATAAGAGTCCTATGATGTTCCTGATTTTTTTCTATGTTCCTTAAATCTTTCTGAATAATGTTATTTAAACAAATAACCGTTATTATAATAACTTTTTGAGATATTTAAACGAAATAGGAGTCATGTTATCTTTGATGGAAATTAAGGTACGAAGATGAGACAAAGTACACGTTACGGAGAATACGACACTTATTACGATTCATCAACAAAAGTTTGGAAAAAAAAATTATTTCAAGAAGTTATTTGCAAAACTATATTCAGTTTTTTGCTTTATTGCACCATTAGCGGTAAGGTGCACACCATCATAAACCATTTCCCATAGGCGTCAACATTTGAAATGCGATAAACTGTATTATTGTAGACATGAGCAGGTAAGTGAGGACTTCAGGTCACTTCTACCCAAACCTACATACAATTTTGAATTTCTTAAGACAGGAAAAATATTTTGGGTGTTTACACCTCTGTACATCCTTAGAAACCAGATCTTTAAAGTTATAAATCAGTTTCAACCACAGAAAAAAATGACCAAAAAAAAGGTAGTAGTGTTAAACTTGGAGTCTCGGACAAAAAGACTTACAGTAGTATGCTTTAGTATGCTTTAGTTTTTTGCAAATAATTACTTAAAATAATTTTTTTTTCCAAACTTTTGTTGATGAATCGTAATAAGTGTCGTATTCTCCGTAACGTGTACTTTGTCTCATCTTCGTACCTTAATTTCCAACAAAGATAACACAACTACGGTTTCGTTTAATAATCTCAAAAAGTTATTATAATAACGGTTATTTATTTAAATAACATTATTCAGAAAGATTTAAGGAACATAGAAAAAAATCAGGAATATTATAGGACTCTCATTAAACGAGTTACATGTTACCAAAGTAGGCCTTATTGAAAATAGTGTCAAAAAACATGTTCGTTTTCCCTTAAAAAATAAATAACTTTAAGAAAAAAATTTTTATTTGTTTTTAATTTTTCACATTAATGTAGAAATAAATTACTTACTGATTCCATACAGTTTCAATATTGTGCGATTTTTTTTATTCAAGTTACAAGCCTTCAAAGTCAACTGACTATACTTTTTGAACCGATAGTAGTGACTAACTTTTTGCTTCTAAATCAGGTATTTTTAACTGATTCAATAATTTAGAGTGTAAGATATAATATGTATATATTGTCCAATGTATAAAATTTACAGTGAAATTTACGTGTGTGACGTGACGTAGGGAGAAGGGGGGGTTCAAGATTTGTGACGAAGTGTGACATAGGGGGAGGGAAGGGTTATTAAAAATGGTCAAAAATCGCGTGAAGTATTATGTGTACGGCCCCTTACGGAAAATTGATTTTTTATTGTTTACAGCTTGTAACTTAATGAAATAACAAAATAATAAAAATAAACAATATAAAAAAATAAATACCTATAAATAAAAAAAAATTTTGCACTGAAATATTAATAAAATTAAATAAAAATATTAATAAGATGATCAATTATATTATGAGTTATACAGAATTGCAGTTTTTGCAAATGAAGTAGCTCGTCCTCATCTTTGCGCATTTTAAACACAAAGTGGCCGACCTTGACAGAAAGTAACATTACCGAATTGTTGTAACCAAAAAGAAATACGTTTCGGGATTCGATTTTTCACTTTGTTTTTTTTCAACCATAAGTCCCACAAAATTTCTGCATGCTTGCCTTGACGATTCATTTTTTTTTTATCTTTTATTAATGATTTTTCACATGATGCACAAAACTTTTTTTGAGCTTTTTTTGTACCGACGTCACAGAAAACACAATTTTCGATTCTCCGAAAATGTAATTGAACAAAAAGTTAAGTTTTACTAAGGGTGCAGTCCCATGCTGAGCAGAAAACAGAATGCAAAGCAGAATTTCGTAAGTGCAAGAGAGATAGTCAAATATCACTATCCTTTCCACTCTCACGAAATTCTGCTTTGCATTGTGTTTTCTGCTCAACATGGGACCGTACCCTTAGACAAGCTTCGACAAGTATGCGCGTAGGTGGCGCTAGTGAACTTGACAAAAAAACGCGAATGGCCTACCTAGACAGTGGTCCAACCTCGACTATACTCTCCTACATATGTTATATACATTTTAGTATTTTTTTATTAAAAAATATTTAATAATTACATTCTCATCATATGAAAAGGTATTAGTTTTGGTCGAATTTTGACTTTTGCTAATTTTATGAAATCTTTACGTTTTAAAGTGCCCTGAGTCCGAAAATCATGGTCCGGCGAGTGCGTCTGTCTGCGTGTCTGTCTGTTGTCTGTCCGTCTGTAGACGGAAATGTTGTTCCCACGATAACTCTTGAAAAACTTATCGGATCATTTTTAAATTTAACACACTAAGGGCCAGTTTCACCAATACTGATTAAAAGTTGACGAATGATTAAATCCTCAATCAAGCAATCATGAGCCGTTAAACTGGCTTTAATAATTGATTAACTTTTAATTGAGGTTGGTGGAATTAGCCCTAAAGTTGGTGTAAAAATAAAGGCTAAGTTCGTTAACCAGCCTTTTTCGTTGAAAACTACAAAAACTACAGTAGTTTCAAAATTTTAAAAACTCAATTTTTTCAAATTTAAAAATTTTTAACTTCATATTATTTTAGATTAGGAAAATACAAACAACTTTTCTCTTTATCATTTTTTCATAAAAACCCAATTTTCGAAGTTATAGTCTCTTAAATGGTAAAAAAAACTAAAAAAAATCACAAAATAACACTGAAAAATCGAATTTTTTTAAAGGAATAAAAGTTAGTCAATTGATTTTGACATATTCTCACCCTTAAATACTTGAAAAACATACTTGTACACAAAAAAGTCTTAATTTCCGGAAAAATTACTCTACATTATATATTTTTTGTGCCCTTTTTTGACAAAATAGTATATTACGATACTAGGCCAGAAACTTGGATTTTCTGGCCGGCGTGATATATAAGGCCGTGGCGAAGTTGAGGCTTTATATATCACGCTCGCCAGGGCATCCAAATTTCTAGCCGTGTGTCGTATACAATTTTTCTGTATCCCCAGCCGAAAGTACGTTATAATTATTGTTTGAATAATAAAATAGCACAATAAGTTACCCGCCCGACTTTTGCAAAGTCGAGGCGAAGCCGAGACTTGGCTGGTCGTGGTGGGAATAAAAAAAATTATATGTTAAAAATAATTGAAAGTAAAATTTAAAAAATAAACAATTAAAAAATAGTAGTTTCTATTCCAAGCTTTAGTTTAGATCCCTAGATAAGTGTTTATACCATAATAGCTTTGATTTTCTTTTATTTAGAAAAAACAATTGACTTTAAAAAAATAGCAAATTTTTAAGGAATGAAAAAAGTGTAACCTTGAGTGGACCACTCCTAAAAAATTGTAAAAGTTATTGTAAATTCTTTAATT